GACCCTTCTTCAGAAATCATTTCTGAAGAAGGGTCTAGGCCCGAAACGTCAGCTTTCCTGCTCGGCCTGCTGTGTTCATCCAGCTCTACATCTTGTTATCTCATTAGCAATGTCCCATCTTGTTTCTGGTCAAGTCAGTCACATAAAGTGACAACATAATGACTGGAGAAATATCCTCTTCCAATGTCTGGGAAATTCATTGTTATGCCAGGAGGAGATGTAAGCCCAAGTTTCATCTCAAACTATGATCTTTAACTCCCATTGTGTGTAACTTACATCTCCCAAGCTGTTGGATTTTTAGACCTTTTTTTCCTCAGGAATCATTCTAAAATTCAATTTCTTGTTTCTAAGTAAATCTCAGTCCTTCCAAAGGTCCTTCAAAGTTTGTTTGGTGGAGATGTAGGGATAATATTCCTTATAGGTTTGCCTAATTGTCTCATTGGTGAGCAGGGGGTTAACTTCATCAGATACTACTGTAGTTATCCCACTAAAGTTGCAGTACAAAGTCAAGGGAATCCTGCCCTGGAAGTTCATACTCCAAAAACACCACCTCAACTCTCCCTTCCAATAACATAACCTTCAATGTATCACAAATAATGCAGGATCCTCAATGATAGATTCCATTATCAGGAAATATTCATGTTTGAATTAATTTGTTACATTTCACATTTGTTACTTGGCTGGATTTAAATTTCAACCAATATTAGCATGAGCAGTGAAAAACCATGTGATTCAAATGAGAGCAAAGCTGTTATGCAAGTGATTGTAGGGCAATAATTTAGTTTAGCTGCTCTGAGCTGGTCAGAATCCTGAGACTTAATTCCCAACAATTAATTCATTATATTACAGTCCATAGTTTATTTCTCAATAGATAACATCAACTTTTTCAAACTTTGTACTGCAGAGCCTGGCACCACCAGTGCAATATTTGTCAATGAATAATGAGAAGGGTTCATTTCACTGTTCATATATTATTATAGAGATCTTACGCAAGCAAAGATATGCCAAGTTGTAAATTATGGCCTATAAGCAATCCAACACTACTGAAATATACAGTGCTTCAAGTCTAGTAATTCAGTTGATGAATAAAATCTATACCTTGTTAAAAAATTGAAAGGTGAAGTTATGTTTTCATGTTGCATGCTTCCTAGCAAAATTATGTTTGTGCTAAATTTCAAGGAGTAAATGCAAAGATAGATTTGATTTTAATTCATCTTTGCTTTTATTCTACAAGGCCTCTTACTTTTACAATGCAACGTAAAAAGGAAGGGGAAACCTCTGTCATGCAATGCTTTCAAGCTCTCTAAATATCCTAACAGTAGTCTACTCCTTTTCTTTCTGTTTTCTAGCAAATTATACTTTGTGTAACTTTGAGTCTGGTTTTTGTGAGTGGATGCAACAGCTGCCTTCAAATGGTTCTGTGTGGGTTCAAGGACAAGGCCGAACATCTTCCAGGTTAGGATTATCTATTACTGACCACACAACTAACACCAGCCAAGGTGAGTATTTACTGTTGTAATTTTATGTGCAATAGAACCCTGAGCAGGCAGGAAGCTTGCTTGTCAAACCAAGGTGTTTACAGATAAACATACCAGTTTAGGGGGAGTTGATGTCCTAGTGCTGTTATGGTTAGACGATTAATCCAGAGAGCTAGGTAATGTCCCAAGGACCTGGTTTTGAATCCCACCATGGTAGATGGTGAAATTTGAATTCAATAATAATCTGGAATTAAGAACGTAATGATGACCATGAAACTATTTCAGATTGTTGGAAAAATCCCATCTTGTTCATTAATGTCCTTTTAGGGAAGGAAACTGCCATCCTACCTGGTCTGGCCTATATGTGACTCCTGACCCACAGCAATATAGCTGACTATTAACTTCCCTCTGGCAATTAGGGATTGACAATAGTCGGAGATACCCCCAAATCTGTGAATAAACTATAAAAGGAGGCAGTGGTTAAATTGCAGCCACATTGCTAGATCATATGATTGAGCCTTTGTGGAATATTTCAGAGTGCTTCAAAACTCATACATAATCATGAACCAGCAAATGGTGTTGATAGCAGAAGACTGGTGGATAGCTCATGTAATTCCTACATTTAAGAGACACAGAACATGACCAGTAAATTGCAGACCAGTCAGCTTAATATCGGTGGTCAAAAAATAGTGAAATCATGACTAGAGAATAGATGAAAAACTCGAAATAAAAATCATAAAGATGAACAATTGGCATGGAAATCATTTCTTGAATACCTTACTAAATATTTTAAGGAGATGTTAAAGAGAGTAGACAATGGTCGTACAATAGATGTAATTTATCTAGAATTTCAAAAAACTTTCAATAAGATGCTCCTAATGGACAAATGATTAATATCCGACAATGAATAGTCAAGTCCAAGTGCCAGAATAGATTGAAGGTTAGCTTCCAGATTGAAAGCTGAGAGTGTTAATAAAAGGTGGTCATTTAGACCATCAAAACGTTGGAAGTGGTTATCCACAAGGGTTGGTGCTGTTCGTAATTTTACAAAAATGATTTGGAATGTAGAATCAAGGTGAGATTTTCCCCTCCCTGGAAGTGGTAAAAAGGGGAAATAATGAATCAAGTTGGTTCTAGAGAGAAGCACACTCACCTCTCACAAGCTCAGTGATTAAAGGCTGAGAACTTAGGTCCTTGGGAACATTCTCAACTTGGCTCCAGTTAAAGGCCTGAATGTGTCAATTAAACAGCTACTTAAGGACAAAAACAAAGTTGCTGGAAAAGCTCAACAGGTTTGGCAGCATCTGTGGAGGAGGAAACAGAGCTAACGTTTCAGGTCCGGTGACCCTTCCTCCACCATCAGTTTTTTGTTCCTGATTTACAGCATTCGCAGTTCTTTTGTTTTTTATTTAGCTACTTAAGGACATTAACTCAACACCTTTTGATCATCTGCCTCCCTAGCAGGTAAGAATGGTCATAGTTTCACAGATACCTACCTGTCAAGCCTCCAACTGCTCAAATATGGACGCAATTAGAGTTATAGAAGGCAGGCAAGGAAGTGAAGGCAGAAGACCAAACCATGTCCTGGCCTCAAACCCCCAACCCCTATATAACTGTGACCTAGGTGCAACAAAAGAAGGAAAAGAAAACTTACTTTTCTCCAGTTAATGCAGATGGCATCTAAATTGTAATACAATATGGGAGAATATTAATAAAACTATGGACTGTGGAGTTTTATGAAGAGGTGACAAAGGTGGTGGACAGTGGTAAATCCATGGATGTTGTTTATATGGATTTCCGGAAGACTTTTGATAAAGTCCCACACAAGACACTGTCGGTTAAGGTGGAAGCCCACAGGACTGAGGGTAAATTATTAACATGAGTAGGAAATTGGTTGAGTGGCAGGAAACGGAAAATTGAAGTAATGGGTAAGTATTCAAATTGGCAGGATACGTTTAGTGGTGTCCCACTGGGGTCTGTGTAGGGCCTCAATTATTCACAAGATTCGTTAATGACTTGGACCATGGCATAAAAAGTCAACTGTCAAAATTTGCTGATGACACAAAATTGGGCAACATTGTGAACAGTGTTGACAACAGCATAAAATTATAATCCGATATTGATAGATTAGGTGAATGGGCAAAGCTGTGGCAGATGGATTTTAATAAAAGCAAGTGCGTGATTTATCTGTTTTAAACCACAGAAGGATTGATCAGGGTATTTTTTCAGAAGGCACAAAGTTAAATACAATAGGTGTCCAATGAGATTCGAGGGTTCGAGGTTTGATAAATCTGAACGCTTGGATCGTTGTGATGAAATCAAGTAAATAGTTACTCAGGAAAAGTTAGACCATCAAATATATAGTCCTACCCCAGGATCCAATCCCCTAACCCCAATGAACCCTGACCTGACAACCCCTGCCCCCATCCCACAGCATCCAACCCCTCCTTGTCCCTGCAGGAACCAAACCTAACTCCTCCCAGAACCAAACTGAACCCCCCGGGACCCATGGATGAACATGGTTGAGCCCAGAACATTACCCTGAGGAGCTCTGATGGCTGTTGTGGTACAGTGCCAGTGTTCCTATCTCTGAGCCGGGAGACCTAAGCTTGGGTTCCAACTGCTCCAGAGGTATGTTATAACACCTCCAAACAGGTTAATTAGAAACATCTACAATCATCAAACTATATGTAGGTAAGATTACGCATTTTCCCCAATATTAAAAGTGAGATAAACTAACCTTCATTTATATAACTGTGTATATATTTGTGAAGAAATTTGAAGCTATTTAATATACAAAGCCATACATAATTCTATGAAATTGCATGGTTCATTATTTTAATGGCAATATTAATCCATTTATTTAAGAGCCCTGTTAAAATACCATCAAAGGAGTTTGATAATGATTAGCATTCATACACATAATATCACACAAAGGAACTATAAAGTCCCATAAGACATAGAAAAGAGAAGTGCCTGGGACTATTGTAAGCTATCAAACTCATCATAGGATTCAGACAGTGGAGTGGCACTCCTATTTAGTGCTATTGGCATGGAGGTTGATCAGAATATATATGTAAACTATCACGCAGATGATCTCATTCAGAAATTCTGCCACACAGTGTTGATTATTAAAAATTTGGTTATCATTTTATTTAGCCTTGTTGAATATTGGGAAGGCTGAAGCCCTTGTTTTTAGTCCCTGTTCCAAACTCTGTCTATTGTTACTGACTCACATCATTCTCCCTATCAACAGCCTGAGATTAAACGTCTCTATTTGCAATGTCAGGGTCAATTTGATCCCAAGATAACCTTCCAAATTATATCTGCACCATTGCTAGGATTTTCTTTTTCCATCTCTGTAACATTGACTTCATATGACTTGATCCAATAACTTTATAATACCCTTAAAAGCTCTTTGGACATTTTATTAATTAAAGGTGCCAAGTAAATACAGGTTGTTGTTGTTAATCTAACATCAGGCCTTGGGACAAGTGTGAGTGTATGAAAGCCTGTATGACCCCACTGACCCTTGGAAATAAAGGTGACTCAATATTGTATAATCCTGATGGATGTCCTGTTTATTTTATCTGCTGTGGTAGCATTTAGGCTAAGCAATGGGAACTCTGATCCTTCTTTCTCGGTTTCAGCAACTTAAAACTGGCAAAACCTTTAGCTGACAGTACTGAAAGTTGAAAAGGCAATATTGATTTCTCAGTGTTGCTGTGAAAAAAATATTTTTCAATCTGCCAAACAGCTCTGTAGCAAGACCTTACAGTGGATGAATAAGACAAGATAACATTAAGGCACGGAATTCTGAGATTTTTATCCATAATTCCATTCATTTCCGATTATGGGCACTGGTTATGATGGTGACATATTCCACATTTCTTCTAATGCTTTGGTGATTGTATTTTGCAATTCTATCTAATTTTCTATGAAAATTTCGATTCAATGGCAGTTGTTGTAATCAATGTTTCTACCTGGTTTAATGGGCCGTCTTTCTGTTCACGTTAGAAGGAAATGTGAGTCAAGAATAAACTAATCAATACTAGAAACCATAGGATGATTTGGGGAGTGAGTTGGTATTATGGTGGGGGCAAGGGGTGGTGTTGCAAGGAAGAGAGGAGTATTGTGAAGGAATGTGTTTTGTCGGGTGAGGGGATTACTGCATTAGAGTGAGGAGTACGTTGCAGGAAGGGGATAGTTTAGCTAATCATGGCCCCAATTCAGTCAAGGCAAGACCACGATGGCAGGCCAGCACACAGTGAGTGAGAAACAATAGGCTTACTCTCATCTGATTTCACCTCTGTGTATGATCAAACATTCAGCTAAATGTATTAGTTGGTCTGAACACTGTTAGGGGTAAAACATTACTGACGGGATGCAAAACAGGCAGTAATGGATTGACTGCTCATTAAACAAGTCACTTTAATTTCCTTTGGAATGTGGATAAGGAGGCGAGGACTGTATCCCTCGACTTCCCACTTAATGCTGATCTGTCGGATAGGTTACAGCAAAGTCTGGAGTAATAACAGGAAAATCCCAACACGTCCATTTCAGCCCAATCTCTCACTTGATGAAGAACCAGTGTTATGAGCCCAGCTGATGATACTACTGGACAAGTCAGATCCCAGAATGAAATGTAACTTGTTAGACCATTTTCCTTCTTCATATCTAATGTTGCAGTCTTTCGCTGAAGCATAAGCATGCAAGCCTGCAGATTTGATTTTAATAATAAAACAGCAGATTATTACATAGAAGAAATAAAAATAAAATAAACCAAATCAAGCGATCCAAACATAACATGGTTTGAAAGATTTCAAAACACTCGGCAAAACATTGTTTATCTACCACCCAACACCATCACTTTACAGGTGATCCAGAGAAATTTTCCTACCTTGTCCAATCCGTAGATTTTGTTGAACTACATCTTCACAGGTCTTGCTGTCTGAGATAAAAGGCCTTTTTTATAAGACGGGGTGCCACGGTGGCTCAGTGGTTAGCACTGCTGCCTCACAGCACCAGGGACCCGGGCTCGATTCTACTCTCAGGTGACTGTCTGTGTAGAGTTTGCACATTCTCCCCGTGTCTGTGTGGGTTTCCTCTGGGTGCTTGCAGTTTCCTCCCACAGTCCAAAGATGTGCAGGTTAGGTGGATTGACCATACTAAATTGCCTGTAATGGATCAGCCATGGGAAATACAGGGATAAGGTGGGGGAAGGTCTGGGTGGGATGCTGTTCAGAGCGTTGGTGTGGCCTTGATGGACTGAATGGCCTGCTTCCACATGTAGGGATTCTATGATTTCCTTAAACACTTCCACAACTGAGATCTTGGACATTCTGAGCTTTGTATAACTAAAGCAGATTTCTAACCAAACACTCCTGGTCAGGAAGCTTTCACAAACTGAATTCCTTACACTAAGGTAATTTATTCCCTTAACTGCTCTAAACAATATGCTTTTTAGGAGAATCTGTACTTGTACTTGACTTCATCATGTCTCCCTCGACCCTAACCCTTAATGTTTTATTTTTCCTGTCACAACCCTCCACAATATAATTTTAATAAACACTCCATGATTTCTTACAGTTACCTGGTCTCCGACACACGTTAGTTTAATATCATGTTTCAGGAAAGATCAACTTAATTAATTTTTAAATCTCTTCACAAAAATAGTTCAACACTCATAAACCACTAGTCTTAAATCCAAATTCTAGAAAAAGTAATTATTAATGTTTCTAAATCACACACCTTTCATTAAACTTGGGTGTATCCTCTGGAATCTGCTATTCAACCTTCTCTCCCACCCCATTGACTCTTAACAACCTTCTTGGACAGTAAGACAAGAATCCAAACCTTAGTGCCTCGTACAGTTTGGTAAAGTTACCAATTGCAATGTGTGAAATTTAATGGAAACTTTCATGTTTGTGTTCATCCTGCAGTATTTCAAATCGAGAATGGTCAGAAATGCATTCATAAGAAAAGAAATTTATATGAACTGAATAACTTTAAAATGAAGTAATTGTTTTTGCATTCTTTCATACGATAGGAATGTTCATCTATTTCAAAGCAACTTCAGATCATAAATCAGTGCATACAATTGAACTTGGCATTCCTGTTTTGAAGAACCAATTGGTCAAGGGTCTTCCGTGTCAGGTAATTATATATTCATGGTTTCTAGAAAGTAATTTGTTTAAATATGGAGGCTGATGAGAAGAAAATAAAAGAAATACTGTAATGTCGAATTCTGAAGAGTTCGTTGGCTTGAGATGCCCCTTACAGATTTTATAGCAGATGGTAGTGGCAATTTATCTCTCTTACCTCTTGTCATTGCTGTTTTCTGGGGCTCCAGGTTTCATTACCATGCTGTATTTATGTTGGACAAGAGGATGAATTCCCATGAGACTTCTCCTGTGCAGCTGATGTAATATTGGCAGAAGTTTGTTGTTAAGCTTATTTTATGCCAAGGTTTTAGGCTGAGCTGGAAGAATCACAGCAAACTTCACATCTCATTTTTCTCATGGAGACAAATGTGTTAAATGCGACGATGGTGGACTACAATGGATTATTGAGAAATAATGACAGTCAACCAACAAATCTGTTGTTCAACTTCACTATCATTCCAGCACACTAAGGACTGAATTTAAAATGGCCATATTGTTATAGCAATTCCTGCAGCCTTTCTGGCTTCTCTAACTATCAGTTAGTTTGCAAACAAATAAGAGAAAGAGTAGTCAGTATGGCCCCTTAAGTTTGCTGCACCATTCAATGTGATCATGGTTGATCTTTGACCTCAACCCCAGTTTCCTGCCCTACCCCCATTTCAAAGCCATTTTGTTTTATTTGAACAAAGATGTCATAGAGATATACAGCACAGAAACAGACATTTTGGTCCAACTCGTTCATGCCAACCCTAAATTAATCTAGTCCCATTTGCCAGCATTTGGCCCATATCCCTCAATCGTTCCTCATGATGTACCCATCCAGATGCCTTTTATATGTTGTAATTGTACCAGTCTCCACCATTTCCTCTGGTAGCTTGTTTCATACATGCACCACCCTCTGCATGAAAAAGTTGTCCCTTATGTCCCTTTTAAATCTTTCCCCTCTCACCATAACCCTATGCCCTCTAGTTTTGGCCTCCCCTACCCTGGGGAAAAGACCTTCGCTATTTACTCTATCCATGCCCCTCATGATTTTATAAACCTCTATAAGGTCTCCCCTCAGCCTCCAACGCTCCAGAGAAAATAGCCCCAGTCTATTCAGCCTCTCCCTGTAGCTCAAACTCTCCAATCCTCGCAACATCCTTATAAATCTTTTCTGAATCCTTTCAAGTTTCACAACATCCTTCCTGGAGCAGGGAGACCAGAATTGCATGTAGTATTCTAATAGTGTCCTAAGCAATGTCCTGTACAGCAGAAACATGACCTCCTGATTCCTATACTCAATGCACTGACCAATAAAGCCAAGCATACCAAACGCCTTCTCCATTATCCTATCTTCCTGCGACTCCACTTTCAAGGAACTATGAACCTGCACTCCAAGGTCTCTTTGTTCAGCAACACTCACCAGGGCTTTACCGTTAAGTGTATAAGTCCTGCTCTGATTTGCCTTACTAAAATGAAGTGCCTCCCATTTATCAAAATCAAATTCCATCTGCCACTCCTTGGCCCATTGGTCCATCAGATCACAATCCCATTTCACTATGAGGTAACCTTCTTGACTGTCCACTACACTTCCAATTTTGATGTCATCTGCAAACTTACTAACCATACCTCCTATGTTCACATCCAAATCATTTATATAAATGATAAAAAGGCAGTGGAACCAGCAGCAATCCTTGCAGCACACCACTGGTCACAGGCCTCCAGTAGAAAAGTACCCCTCCACCACCACTCTCTGTCTTCTTTCTTCGAGCCAGTTCAATTCAAAAAACTCAATGTTCATGAGACATGATTTCCCACGCACAAAGCCATGTTGACTATCCCTAATCAGGCCTTGCCTTTGCAAATACATGTAAATCCTGTGCCTGAGGATTCCCTCCAACAACTTGCCCACTGATGTCACAACTAAGGCATTATATAAATTATTTCACAATCTTAGATAAAATAAAATTCACAGCCATCAATTGTCTGAAGATTATTTAAATGTAAGAATAGCACATATGCTGCAAACTGAAAATTTCAGCTACTTTATGTAAAGGAGTGTGAATGAGTACATACTGTACAGAAGGATGGTTGAACTTGTGCAAAAATGGTGGTTAGCTGTCTGGCCACTGATACCATCAATACTATGTTGCAAACATCCTTTGAGATACTTGTTCACACTTTAGGTCAAATGCAGGATTTAACTGTAAATGTAAGAGAATTGCTAGAGTCTGAATCTTAAAAATGTGAACTAGAGCACTCGGGGGAGGCATAGACCTGGCTGCCTGGTCCCCTATGCATTATGCTTTTGGACTACATTTATAAACTTGTGTCAAATTTCAGAATTCCCTTTGTTGACTATTTGTTCTTGTAGAGATTATCTGTACAGTCAGGATTTTTCTGTTTTAAATCATTGCTTTTTCTGACCTTACTGATAATCATTCTTCAAGCACTTGAGAGGCATGTGCATGTCCTCTACAATCATGAAATGTAAGCTCATTCCTTCTAAACTGAATCTCAAATGATAATATTGTAAAAGTGGGGATCATATTAAGGACATGCTTAAAATATAAGAGGAAGCAGCTGACTGTTATTGGAATACACATTTACAGGTTTCCCCCCTCTCTCTCTCCTTACCCATCACTTACTTTGATGGTTTGCATTGCTATAATGTGCTTTACATGTAAACATATAATTGGCTACACGGGTAATTTACTGGTGGTAGTTAGTAGTTAAAAACAAAACAAAATTGTCATAGTGATTAGGGGGAGAAAAATCTGCTCAGTTGTCTTTCAGATGGCACTTCTGAAAGAAAGAAAAAGAAGAAAGAAAATGATGGGGATGGATCAGAGTCATGAATGTCTCTGCCTTTACCACCCTTATCGGCAGTGAGTTCCAGATTCCCAATACACTCTGGGTGAAAATATTTAACCTCGCATTCCCTCTAAACCTCCTGCCCCTTATCTTAAATTTTGTCTCCTGATCATTAATCCTTCAACCAAGAGGAAAGTTTCTTCCCATCTACCCTGTCAATGACCCTCATAATTTTATACATCTCAATCATAAAGAACAAAGAACAGGAACACGCCCTCAGGCCTACCAAGCCTGCACCAACACACAATGCCTTCCTAAAGTAAAACCCTTTTGCCTCTACGTGGCCTGTATCCCTCCATTCCCTGCCTACTCCTGGATTTGTCAAGATGCCTCTTAAATGTTGCTATTGTACATGCTTCTATCACCTCCTCTGGCAGCACATTTCAGGTACTTACCACTGACTGTATAAGAAAACTTGCATCTCACACCACCTTTAAACTTTCCCCCTTTTTTACCTTAACCTATATTCCCGAGTAATTGACAGTTTTCTACCCTGGGAAAAAGACTCCGACTATCCATTCTATCTGTGCCTATCATAATTTTGTAAATTTCTATCAGGCTGCCCCTCAGCCTCTGATATTCAAGTGAAAACAAACCAATTTTGTCCAATCTCTTGTCATAGCTCACACCATCCAAACTAGGCAACATCCTGGTAAACAATTTCCATGCCCTCTCCAAATCCTCCACATCCTTCTGGCAGTGTGGCGACTAGAACTGGATGCAACATTCCAAATGTGACCTCACCAAAGGTCTGTACAGCTACAACATGACTTGCCAATTTTTGTACACTATGCCCTGACCAATAAAGGCAAGCATGCCATATGCCTTCTTTACCACCTTATCCACTTGCATTGCCACTTTCAGGGAACTGTGGACCTGTACACTTGGATCCTGCTGTATGTTAATGCTTTAAGGGTTCTAACATTTACTGAATACTTCCCTCATGCATTAGGCCTTCCAAAATGCATTATCCTGCATTTCCTCATTTGAAATTCCGTCTGCCATTTCTCTGCCCAAGTCTGCGGTCTACCTTTATTCTACTGTATCCTCTGGCAATCCTCACCATCTGCATCTCCCCCAACCTTTGTGTTGTCCACAAACTAACTAATCAGATAACCTACATTCTCCTTCAAGTCAATTATGTGTTCTAAATAACAGGGGCACCTGCACTGCTTCCTATGGAACACCACATGTCACAGCCCACCAATCATAAAGACACCCTGCCCCCTTTACTTTCTGTCTTCTTTGTCCCAGCCAGTTCTGTATCCATCTTCCCAGCTCACTGTGGATCCCATGTGACTTCACCTTCTGTATCAGGTTGCCATGAGTGACCTTATCCATATAGACAATATCTACCGCTCTGCCCTCATTAATCATATTTGTCACTTTCTCAGTAAACTCAATCAAGTTTGTGAGACATGACCTCCCCTGCACAAAGCCATGCCACCTATCACTAATAAGGCCATATTTTACCAAATGTGAGTAAATCCTGTCCTTAAGAATCTTCTCCAATGATTTCCCTGCTACTGATGTAAGGCTAATCGGTCTATCATTTCCCAGATTTCCCTTTTTTAGCAAAGGAATATCACTGACTATTTTTCAGGTCCTCTGGGACCTTGTCCATAACTAAAGAGGATACAAAGATTTTGTACAAGGCTCCAACAAATTTCTCTCTGCCCTCCCTCAGTGTTCTGGGATAAATCCCATCTGGTCCTGGGGACTTCACTACCTTAATGCTTTTCAAATCACCTAGCACCACCTCCTTTTTTATGTTGGCATTGTAAAGTGGGGCAAAAATCCCCATCAGTTTATGGGCATAACCTGGATTTAAAACCCCTCTGAAGGCAGAAGTTGTGGAAATTAGCTGGATTAAATTCACTGAACTTTTGGGACTCAAGAAACCATGGGCTGCAACTGAACCAGGAGCAGGCTGGCTGGAACAGACTGAGTAACATACAAGCCCAGAGGCAGTTGTCTGGAACAGGGGTTAGCTTGCAGAAACTAAAGGAAGACTCCCATTCATGCCCCAGCTAAAAACAATGCAAGTCTGTCTGTGGGAAACAAGCATTTTCAGAAAACTTCAGACCCTTTGGAACCTACAGAGGTATAAAACCATTCAATTAATTCCCAGGCAGAGCTCAGACACAAGAACACTGAACCATTGTGCTACATGCAAACCTGTTTCACCTTGGATGTTTAAAACAAAACATTCACACCACTATGCGAAACTGAACAGATACCCATCTGAGGGAAATGCCGGACATTCCAAAAACCATCAAAACCATTCACCTCAATTGATAAATGATTCACACCTACTCCAGTGCTCAAGAATCTCTGCTCCTATGATGCTGCTTGGCCTGCTGTGTTCATCCAGCCCTGCACCTTGTTGTCCCAGTGCTCAAGAAGCCCATTCAGCCCGGAGAGGAGGAACAATAGCTCAAAGATTTAGCGGGAGATAAGGGGAGGGGGAGGGCTGCTGTTAGGTATAACTGGAGACCCCGAGCCCAGGACAGCAGTGTAGGAAAGAGAAGTGAGTGAAGGAATAAGAAAAGGAAGAGGAGGAGAGAAAGAGAGCGAGTGTACCGAGAGTCCTCCACTGTGAGTGGGGCACTGCAAGTTCGGGCTCCGTGAGACCAGCACTGAGATACCAGCCACTGAACACCAGCAACTAACTACGAACTTCCACCGACTCTGGAGGCAACCACAGGCATCCAGAGACACGAAACACCAAACGGAGCAACACCAGTCGCATTCACCACCATCCTCCACAACAACAACCCGCTCACATGGACCACCAAGGGAAGAACGAAAACCCGAGGTACTCACTGCTCTGTTGCCATGTGTCTAACCACATCAGCGGACACCTCTAGACTGTTACTGGTTCTTCGCAGAGTCCCAGCTACGGCAAGAGATTACGGACAAAAGCCAGTTAAAATCACGTTTCACACCGGGGGTGAGCCTAAGATTATCGAGACCCTCTAACCCAGCTTGTCTAGTCTTAGATAGGAGAAGGTGGGGTTCGGGAGGGCCAACGGTGTAGGGTACCCCTCAGGAAGGGAAGTGGAATAGGACTCCGGGTCAGCAGGTCTCTCTCTCCCTCTTCCCTAATAGTATAAGTAACAGTCACCCACTGCATCTATTTACTCACAGTATTACATCTTAGCTGCAAGGCTTAAGTGAGGGTTAAGTTAACTGGGAGACAAGGTCTCAGTCAGAGACAGGCCAGTTCTAATTTTGATATTCACTTCCTTGTTTTCTGCAAATATATTAAATTTGGCTTGTTTGTTCGATAAAATCAGAGTTTTCTTTGCCTCTGAATCATCTGCCTCCTGTGTTTTTCCACCACACCGCATTCCTTACATAAGCCCAGTGTCAGAACCAGGGAGCGGGTGAAGAGTGAACCAGGCAGCACTCCCTACAACTTGCCCTAGAATATCAACATACCCCTCTCTAGACTCAACATCCACCATGTCCTTATCCTTTGTGAATACTGAAGCAAAGTATTCATTAAGGGCCTCACCCACTTTCTCCAGCTCCATGCATAAATTCACTCCTCTTGTCTTGAATGGACTTACACTTTCCCTAGCTACCCTCTTGCTCCTTATATAGGTATAAAAAGCTTTGGGATTTTCCTTAATCCTGTTTGCCAATGTCATTTCATGGCCCCTTTTATCCTTCCTAACTCCTTGTTCCCTCTTCAATCATGATCCCCTTCAGTTTCCTGTGGTCCAAGGAAAACAACCCCAGTCTGTCCAATCTCTCTTCAAAACCAAAACTCCCCAGCACAATCAGCATCCTGCTAAATCTTCTCTCTGCACCCTGTCTAGTACAATCATATCCCTCCTATAATGTAGATTCCAGAACTGCACACAATCTCTTAGGAAGGGGAAAGAGCAAACCAATGCTTGTATTGAGTTAAGCGATATAAATAAATAGTTTTGTTTAGAAGACACACTGATTCCTGCTTTGGTACATGGGTGAGTATGGATGAGCAGTAGTTAACATCAAGTGGAGGTAAAGTGAACAAGAAACCACAATAGCAAGGTGATCTTATTAATTCTGCAAGATGAAGCTGCAACATGTGATATATACAATATAGGAAATGCTTCCATTCTTAAATTCCATTTTATTCACAGGAGAGTTTTAAGTGAAATGGACCATAAATATTCTGGAATTTTTCACTGTTGCAATTTTAAATTTTCTCAAACATTAAGTATGTTCTATAAATAAAGTGATTTGCTCCATCTAAAAGTGATGGAATAGGAAATTGATAAAATAAGAAAATCCCATGAAATACTCTAGTTCAATCAGCAATAAATTAGTGGTCATCATTGGACTTGTCATTCCAGACATTTTTTTCACATTGAATTCAAATTCCACTATCTGCTGTGGCAAGATTTGAACCTGGGTCTCCAGAACATTACTCAGGTCTCTGGATTAATAGTCCTCCAATAATACCAGTAAGCCATCACCTTCCTAGTGTCAGCAATCTAATGTCATATAAGCAAAAAATTCTGGAAATGCTCCGACGAGAGACAAAAACCAAGTTAAAATTTCAAGTCAATAGTAGAAATTTAAGAAATGTAATAGGAATTTAGCAGTTTAAATGTGATACAACATTAAAAGGGAAAGGTCCGTATGGAGGGTGGAAGATGGAGGCAGTAAATCACAAAAGGAACAAAGGATACAGCTAGAGGCGGTGTGATTGATAAAGAACTGCCATCCAGAAGCAAAATCAGAGTAAAATCAATCATGTAATGAAAAGGAAACTAAATGGCAACAGAGTTCATGGTCTGAAATTCCTGAATTCAGTGTTGACTCTGGAAGGATGTAACATGCTTAATTGACAGCAAGAGTTTGCATGAGCTTCACTGGAAAGGCAGAGTCAGCCAAAGACAAAGAGGTTGATGGGAGACCGACATGGTGAATTAAAATGGCAGACTACCAGAGGCTTGATTCATTTTTATGGACTGAACAGAACAGTTCTGATCAATGATCAATTCATGATTTGGTGTAGTTTGTTTGGGTTCACAGGTAAGGACATCCCTTTTGTGACAGGTATGCTAGGGTAGTGGTAGTGTCCCTAATTCTGAACCAGGAGACCTGGGCTCAAGTCCCAACTGCTCCAGAGGTGTGTAATAACATCACCGAACAGGTTGCTTAGAAAATATCTACAAGCAATTACTTGAAAGATTCAGAAGATGTGTTATGTGGACCAGGAAATCTTCATTACACAGAGTATTTATTTCATTTAAAAATTCATCAATTATTCTAACAATTCTCTTTCATTTCCAATCAGTTAAGGTTCTGGTACCAGATGACAGAAGGAGCTAACATGTCAGTACATATAATGACCACAGCTGGAGGGCAGATGAAAAGAGTTGCTGACCTTACTACACCAACGAACAAAGTGTGGGCAAAATTAGAGGTTTCTGTGGAACCCCATGGAGCAGAGACCATGGTACCTTTCCAGGTGAGAAATGATCATAACAGTATCTGGAATATACTGATAGTTACAACTGCTCTTGCATCTACTGATTCTGACAATCTGAACGTTGTTTTAGTCAACAAGTCAAAAATGAGGAATTTAGGAGTAGGAAGCAAGCTTGGAATTTTTTCTACACAAAATATTACAGAGCTGTGAAATTAAATTCCAGGCAACTCCATTGAAGCAGGCATTGAACTGTGTTTAACAGACAACTGAATGCTTTCCTGAAGAGAGGAAAGACCTAGGGATATGGTGAAATGGACTTCTTAAAGCAAATTTCTTTTTCTGTCTGTCAGTCTATCTATATTGCTGCAGCTGATAAATTTCACAAGTTAGCAGTAACCTTCATTCACACGTCTATGGGATTTAAACTGTCCGTATTGTGTCAGGTTGGCTCAGTTCTTTTACATTCAAGCCCCATTATCAGGGTTTGAGCTTGTAATTCATGAGGACAGACCAGTGCTCTGTTGAGAGTGCTGAATCTTTCAAAATACTTCCTTATTACTTAGAGTTCTGAGTACTACACCTTAGAAAAGGTATATTAACTTTGGAAAGAGTACAGCATAGGTTTACCTGCGTATTTATCTATGAAAGTGTACACTCAATATGCAACTTCTGCAGTCTGCCAAGATCGTCGTTTGCAAAAATCACAGAAATTTTCCACAAATGTACCCCCTGTGAATGGTAGGACTTTATTGTACAACGCTGTGATGGCTGTTATGACAGTTTGCAAAAAAGGTCTCCTCTATCACTTTAAGTGTGTATCTCTCTCCTCTGAGTTTCTCGGATTGATGTAAGGATGGGCAAGTCCCTACATGCAGAATATTTTGAATGCTTTTTAAGCTTTGTTTGCATTAACACTTTTGACCCTAAACCCTAATTTTAGCCAAATTTCTTTACAGGAATATCTTTGAAAGATCACACATTAAATATCATCTCTGAACAGCAGAATAGGCTTGAGAATCAAAAGGCCTATTTCTGCTCCATGTACACATGAAAACAGGAATGCTATCTTGAATTCTTATTGAGTTGAATGTGTGACTGGAATCAATTAAAAGCGAAATGGATTAGAAATAGCATTTGATCTTCTTCTTTGAAATGTGAATTGGGAGAATATTAGAAAGAGGGAAAGTGTTAGAGGTATTCAGTAGCTCTGTCAGCATTTGTAGAGAGAGAAACAAAATTAAGATTTCACGCCAACTATGACTTGTACAGAACTGCAGGAACTCAGAAATGTAGTGGGTTTTAACCAGTTGAAAGAGGGGAGGGGTGACAAGAACAAAGGAAAGTTCTGGGATAGTGTACAGGGCAGGAGAGATTAAATCGCTCATAGACTCAAAGATATTTGCAGCACAGAAGGAGATCATTTGGCCCATGTCTGACTAATTAATTCCATTTTCCAGTATTTGGTGCCCGTAGCCCTGGAGGGTAGTACCTAAATACTGCTAAAATGTTACAAGAGTTTCTGACTCAACTATATTTTCAGACTGTGAGTTCCAGACTCCCAAGATTTGAGTGCTGCTGGATAGCATTTATTTCCCATTCCTAATTGCCCAGAAAGTAGCGAAGAGTTAAACACATTGCTGAGGGTCGGGAGTCACATGTAAACCAGACCGCATGAGGATGGCAGATTCCATTCCCTAAAGGGTATTAATGAACTAGGTGGGTCTTAATGATAATCAACACATGATCACCATTAGACTAACTTTTAAATCCAGATTTTGGTTGAATTCAAATTTCGTCATCTGCCACAGTGGAATTCGAAACATGTGCCCAGATCACTAACCTGGGTTCTTGATTATTAGCCCAATGATGTTACCATGATGCCACGGTTCTCCCCAAAGCAACTGGTTCTCAACTCATCTCTTAGCCTTCTATCCTTTATCCTAAATCTAAGCTCCTGATTATTGACCCCTCTACTAATGGAAAAGTGTTTTCATTTGCACATTATTTATGTCCCTCATAATTTCTTCTGTTAGGCCCCCTCTCAACCTCAAAGGAAAACAAACTCTGGCCTATCTAAACTCTCTTTATACGTTAGACCCTCCTGCCTAATCAAGATCTTATTAAATATCTCCTGCAATGGGGTTAGAGTTAGGGTCAGGGTAATCACGACTTTCTTATAATGTGGTGACCAGAGCTACACGCCTATAGGATGTTCTGGTTATAGCTTAGCCAGCAAATGTGTGCAGGAGGCAACTTTGCCAGTGCTTGATCTGAAGTCTTGATACTCAGAAGTTGAGGTGATTGGGGAGCCGACTGTTACATGGTGGAGATAATACTTGAAAGACAAAACAGAGAGAAGACTTTGTGATAACAGGTGTAGAACTGGATGAACACAGCAGGCCAGGCAGCATCAGAGGAGCAGGAAAGCTGATGTTTCGGGTCTGGACCCTTCTTCAGGTCAGTGGTTAGATGTGTGGAATGAAGATTGGCACTTACCCAGTTGGCAGGATGTGGATTGTTTGGCATCCTCATAGTGTGTGAGGAGACTAACCCTGAGCCATGCAGGCTCTCTCTGCAATGTTACAGGCTGTTTTCACCTGTAATGAGAGGAATGGAGGAATTAAGTGAGATAAAAGTTGGTGGTACAGTTATTAGTGCAACTGCAGGCAGGCTGAGCAACTGAGTAAGCAGTGCAAAGGACATGCTGGGTTAGTGGTGTTGCAGCTTGGGGTTGGTAAGGGTGAGTGGGGAAGATGTTACAGACAATAATGAGAGTGGTAGAGCATGAGACTTAGTGGGAGCTGGATTCAGTAGCTGAGAGAAGAGTGAGGCTCTTACTTTGGTTCATTGGAAAAGGTCGTTGACCTTTAAATAGAACTATTGCCCATTTCTCCAGACTGTGTAGACAAATCTGACCTGTGTGGTGACCTCGAACCAGAATGTCAGAGTCTGGTGATCCCATGACCTCTGTCAGTCCTCCAGGAAGAGGAGTCCTCTCCTTTGCACCACGTCCTCAAACTTCCCCTTCTTTGACAACTTCTGGAAATGTCCTAGACAAAGCAGGACAACTTTGGAATGCAGCCTGTGATGCAGTTGTGCAGAAACCTTTTAAAAGTGGCACGTGTACAAGGGAAGTCTGTTTTTCAGCTGATATTTGCTGAATCATAGAATTATATAGTACAGAAGAGGCCTTCAGCCCATCAAGTCTGTACCACCAAAACTATGCTTAATGTACAGTAGTCCCACTTCCCAGTACTAGCCATAGCCTTGAATGTTATGACACTTCAAGTGTTCTTCCAAGTACTTTTTAAAGGTTGTGAGGTTTCACATCTCACCCATCCTCCCACAGCGCATTCCAGACCCACACTGCCTTCTGGGTGAAAAACAATCTTTCTCAAATCCCTTCTAAATTTCTTGCTTTCCACCTGAAAAATGCGCCCACTTGTTATTGATAGCTGACTGAGTTGTAGCTGGGGACGATTATAAAGATGCTGTGTAAATGCAATTTTTTCAACAAGTAGTCGTAGAAAAATGAGAGACAACAAGGTGCAGGGCTGGATGAACACAGCAGGCCAAGCAGCA